CTTCTTCTTCTTCTACTTCTTCCTCCTCTTCTTCGTCCTCTTCTTCTTCTTCCTCATTTGTCTCCTCTAGTGTCGTCCTCTTTCCTACGCCGGCTGAGACAGGCCCCTCCTTTATCTTCGTTGCCTGTATTGGGATGTCGGCAGGGTTGTTCATTCTCTCCTCCTCCCAGTCCCCCTTCCTCTCGACGTCGTGTTGATGCTAATCGCGGGGTCCTTTGTCTTACCGACAGCCTGCTCTGCCACGTCGACGGCGTTCGTCATTTACGCGCCGACCCCACCAGATGTGGCTTTCCAGTGGTGACCGATTAGGATCTGCGGGCAGACCTACCAAATGCTTGTGGTTTGACAGCCACAAATGTCTGCCTACAGGCTTATCAGCGTCAATGTTATACTGCATCCCAATTTGTTACGATTGCTTATCAGCTTGACAACTGTTGAAAATCAGTTGTTCTATGACCATAATAGTCCACCTGCWGAAGGTAGTAACTATACTACCTTAGGAGGCTTTACTGTAATGTCTTACAGTTCGGGTTCCACGGTAGCCACCTTCTTATGCATCATTCAACGCCAAGGGATGACCTCAATGACCATCCTCATTTCTGCCTGCATTTTACACAGACCCGGTGTGGCATACTGCGTAGCCACACGGGCCCTGCAGGGCCCGTCCTGCACWTTCAGCCTAAAAGCCTAAAACTTAGGGCTTACAGGCCCCGGTCGTTTCAGCCTGAAAGCTGAAAAACGAGGGCCTGCAGGCCCTACTCCGTTTCAGCCTATTTCTGGGTCTTTCAGACCCAGAGTTTTCCCAGCCTGAAATGGAGGGCCATTTTCAGGCCCTCATTGTTTCGACCTGCCCCTAAGACTCAGGCACGTAAACAGGGACGCGGAACAGGCCAGAAATAGCCTGTTCCTCACGAGCTTGAGCAGGAGCTGCAGCTGCAGCCCCTGCCTCCCCTCGGCATTGGCAAGAGCAGCCTCCTGGACTGCTTGCACGAGTCAGGAGGCACACCCAAGTAGTACATAGGACTGTCCTAGGCACTTCACGGGCAGGTAGTCAGACAGTAGTCAGGGTAGTCTTCCGGATAGCGGAGCAGCACTCAGGAGGAGCGCTGCTCAAGGGCAGCTTAGCGCTAGCGTAGTCTTCGGCGCTGGGCGCCATAGCTGTAGTCTCCAGCACTGGGCGCTGTAGTAGTAGTGATACCGGAGAGAGATACTGGCGGAGGCCAGTGGTACTTACCTGTTGCGCCATTGCTCCGGCTCCATCTTCGTGATACCTGCATCAAGGTGC